AAGAGAGAAAGAGAGAGAGAGAAAGCGAGAGAGAAAGAGAGAGAGAGAGAGAGAGAGAAAGAGAGAAAGAGAGAGAGAGAAAGCGAGAGAGAAAGAGAGAGAGAGAGAGAGAGAGAAAGAGAGAAAGAAAGAGAGAAAGCGAGGGAGAGAGAGAGAGAGAGAGAGAGAAAGAGAGAAAGAAAGAGAGAAAGCGAGGGAGAGAGAGAGAGAGAAAGAGAGAAAAAGGGAGAGAAAGCGAGGGGGAGAGAGAGAGAGAGAGAAAGAGAGAGAGAGAGAAAAAGAGCACGGGTGAACGAGAAAGTGAGAGGCAGCTTGAGTGGGCGAGAGAGAGAGAGAAAACGTGAGTGCGCGCAAGCAAGAAAAAAGAGAGCATGGGTGAGCTAGAGAATGAGAAGGAGCTTGAGTGAGCGAGAAAGAGACAGAGAGAAAGAGAGAGAGAGAGAGAGAGAGAGAGAGAGAGAGAGAGAGAGAGAGAGAGCACGCGTGCGTGAGCAAGAGAGAGGGAGAGAGCACGCGTGCGTGAGCAAGAGAGAGGGGGAGAGCCGCCGATTGCTGGAGACTTTTTGCCACTTAATCAGGAAACAAGTCGTACATGCAGGACAGGCCTTTTCCGTTTCACATTTGCCGCTTCCCTTCGTTAGCGCGCCGCTGCCTTCCGTCGCTGCAATAAACCAGCTCTCATTTTCTCATACTTGGATGCTAGATGGAGCCACTCGAGGTCTGTAATGAGAAGTTAACGGTTGCATGTGTGACCTGATGTTACCTTGATGCACCTCCGCGTTGAGCTTACATATCGTCGATCACTTCACCCCCCCCCCCAAATATGGTATAACCCTGGTCAAGGATTAGCATTCAGATGTAGACTAATGAGGATCGGAGAAGTATTGGCTTACATATTAACTATGCGTCCTCCAATTGCTAGCGGCGTCAACAACAACGGCGAGCGACCTCTACCGGCGACGGGCCGTTTCCTAGTAGCTACTACAAGCAAGCAAGCGCAAACCGATGATGCCGTCAATCTTTAATTAGTTACAGATTCGAAGTAGGGTTGCGAACATAAACCGTAGCATGATAGGCCCGAGATCGTGAAAACGTTAATTTCGTTGCCGGTAGAGGGCGCTGCAGCCGCCATATTCCTTCGGCTTGGACGTTGGCGCGCACATCTAGAAGCACGCAAAGAAAATATACATGAAAAAGAAAAGACACGGAAAAAAAAAATATGAAAACGATAGTAAAAGGAAAGAATATATCTTTAAAAAAACGTTTATAAACCGAAATGAAATGTAAAAAACGAAATTAAACAAAAATAAATTAATAAAAGCGCGGAGTATTTCCTCGGTGTATATTTTGTCTATCTATCCATATATATATTCCTTCTTTAATTATTTATTTCACTCGCTATCTGAACTAGCTACTTATTGTGGCACTGGTATATGAATATAAAACGAATGCTTAAAATGTTTACATATTATACAGATCCATACACACAACACGTATTACATTTCGTGTATTTTAATATTGAATATTCTATATTCAAATGCAGTCTTCTGGCTAATTATGTGTTATATGGCTCTGTATATGTCGAACTCTGGGCAACAGTTTTAATCGCGGATATGCATTCGATGATATTTGAGATAAAGAGTATATGGATTATTACAACATTGCTACCACTGCTTATCCAAAGATATGAGTTTATTTATGTTAGCTACGATTACTTATAAAGAATGGAAAGTGTGACCATGAACGTATATAGCACTAAAATAATTCCTTGATGAAATATAGCAGTAATCTGCGATAGACATTGTCGTATGTTATATCTCTGCCAAACACAGCATGTTGGTCCGATAGATCAAACATGGTCGTAAATTCAACCGCGGGTTATCATTAACAGCGATAGCAATATATAAAGATAGAGCATGCGAAAAGTTCGTATCTCCACTTTCGTTCGCTCTCGTAGAATAAGCGCGCGTCGGTGTGAAAACTCTCGCGAGAATGCGAGACCCGTCTTAACGTGCGTACTGATCATGTCACATATACGATGACAATGTAGGGTGATCGGGGCCACTTTGTCATGATGCTATCGCTGCTGACGTAAAGACCCTTCACGGAAATTCGGGTCGCGTGAGTTCTTGGCGTTAATTGACTGTGGTTTTTTTTCTCTTTCTCTCTCGTAGGTTCATGTGCGGCTTACGGGCAGTCATGCTTAGGAGGTAAGTTATCGCGGGCACGCCGTTAAGTACATGTTATCCGTACAAATTCGCAAAGACGCCTGCTGCGTGTCGGGTGCTGCTGCTACTGCTGCTGCTGCCGCTGTTACTGCTGCTGCTGCTGCTGCTGCCGCTGCCGCCACCGCCGCCGCCGCCGCTGCTGCTGCTGCTCTTGCTGCTACTACTAATATAATACTGTGGTGTGTATCATTACGTTTAAGCTAGGATTCGAGCATAACGATGTATTATTTATAACCAGTTATTACACGCGTACTGGCGGCAGTATCAGCAGCATCATTATGCATGCGTTTTCATTACAATAAATCACCTCAACCCCGCCCCCCCCCACGCTCGCGAATTTTCACAGCAAGGCGAATGAAGCCCTCGACGCCACTCTAAGACGCAAATACACACATTTTAATAAGTGGCGCGTTAACGGCGCGTTCTAAATGCCGCCGCGTAAATCTCTCAGCGCCGTAACGAGCTACGATTAAGCTTCAATACTCGCTCCTCCGCCATTACCGTCCATGTGACGCTATTCGCTTGCTTCACGCGTACACACGCAGCACGCGCGTGACACAATAAAGTAGGAGGGGGGGTGGGAGAGACGCGCTAGTGTAGAGGCGACTCAACGTTAGTGTAGACTCATCCCTTGACTACGGATTGCCCGCGCTAGGTTGTGAATCCCCGCGTGCGTGTACACGCGCATACATAATAAATAACGCAAGCTAAATTACGGATTGCCCGCTCACACAGCGCAGCGCACGGGTGCCCCTTCTACATATTCATGAATTACACGATGCGCGTGCACACACGTTGCTATTCTCTAACACGTTCACGCAAAGAACAGCAGTAGTGACAGCAACAGCAGCGAATAAATAAATAAATTAATTAATTAGTTAATTAATATGCAGCTAAATGAGTACAAATTAATTTATATATATATATTCCGTTCGACTGCCCCCTCCTGTCTCTCTCTCTCGCTCTCTCTCTCTCTCTCTCTCTCTCTCTCTCTCTCTCTCTCTCTCTCTCTCTCTTTCTCTCTCTCTCGCTCTCTCTATCATCTGATTGTGCGTCGCGTGTCACCAGGGTTTGGTAAGCGGACGGATCTGGCGGAGAGTACGGCTGACCTGGGTCTCGGACTGCTCTCTCTCTCTCTCTCTCTCTCTCTTTCTTTCTCTTTCTCTCTCTCTCTCTCTCGCTCTTTCTCTCTCTCTCTCTCTCTCTCTCGTTCTCGCTCCCTTAATCGCGCTCGCTTTTCTCGCTCGCTCTATCCCTCAATCTATCTTACGTGCGCGCGCTCCCCCTCTCTCGCTCTCTGTCTGTGTGTGTGCACGCCGGTGTATTTGCCGGGTGTGCCTAGCGTGTTAAATGAGTGAAACCTCGGTCAGCGCTCGCGCTCGCGTCTGTGTACGTGATCGTACGTAAAGTAGATTAGGTATTGTTGGCCTCGCTGCTTTCTCCGCATCGGCCAATGTCCCTTAATTAAATTAAGCGTCTATTGTAGATGATTATGGATCATCCGTGCTTTTACTCGTTCACACGTACATGCGGGTGCAATGTCGCTCATCTATCGGGCACGACTGTGAGATTTCATTAGCGAATTCATTATTTCATTCTGCCGATCTTGTATACCTGTGCAACTGTCGTGAACACACAAGCACCTAGACGTCCGCTCCTGATCTACATCTTGCCGGGAATTACGGTGCACCATTATGCACCTCACTGTTGCAATCAGTGTGAAAAACTCCAGCGGTGTGGCGAGATATATCGGAATTGATGACATAGAATCGTGGAACCTTGAGCAAGGTTTGTCGTGCACTGATGCTTGATTACAAGGGTAGTGTTGTGTTGTCGTGTCTGTAGTGTTCGCTGGGGTTTTAGCTCGCGATGTCTGATGCACGACCTTAACATCAAATTACAGCAGCAGCAGCAGCAGCAGCAGCAGCAGCAGCAGTAGTAGAAGTAGGATTTAGCAACGGTGACTTTATTGCATACTTCACATATACGATGAATACATTAACGGGCGTGCAATTATCTCCATCGGTCATTCGCTGGCTGCCCTCTTGTTGTCTCTAGCTATGTGCCTTCCCTATTTGTAATATATTTCTCTTGACCTCTTGTTATTTCTGAATTTTTATTAGTGCCGACTTTATACCCGAACCTAGAATTCCGGCGCTGCACTAAACAATCGCTACTACTTAATTTAAGTAACTTTAATTAGTAAATAATAATTTAATTAATAATTAATTAATAACTATTAACTATTAACTATTATACCAGAACTATTAATTGATATCATAATACCGGGGCGGACAATGCTCCTAGACCTATCGCATCTTATCAATGCTTGCGATGTCTGTGAAAATAGGTATTCATGTTAAATCGCGCGTCCATCTTGACTAGACCATGATGGCTGCGAATTACAGCAAGGAACCAAGTGTTGCTAGCCTAGCCCTATAGCGTCTGCTTTGTTTTATAATATACGATGCACGCTTATTTCAATGCTGCTACATTACAATACTTCCATGCAGCTACATTACAATAGTAGTGCTAATTGCGTGGTGTGTGCTCAGTTGACAATTATTAGTAACGTGGTTTCGACAATTATTGCCCGTTTCTTCATCATCAGATAGGAATGTTCACATACGATTTCATTCAACGGAGCAGTATACAAATCGTATTCGTCGTCGAATTCGTATATGTGTGTGTGTGTGTGTGTGTGTGTGTGTGTGTGTGTGTGTGTGTGTGTGTGTGTGTGCATGTGTGTGTACGCGCGCACGCAGGCATACAGACAGATACACACGCATACACATATACGAACGCGCGCGCACGCACACCAATCCTCACACCCACACACAGATACAAACAATCTTAGATGCAGGTGCATGTGCGTGCACGCGCGCGCGTGTATGTGTGAGAGAGAGAGGGGATTGTGAGTGTGTGTGCGTATGCACGGGTGTATACTAGTGACTGTGTGTATGTCCTCCCCTTGGACCGCAATTGATTTTCTGTTCAAATATGCTTAGCCTCCCCCCCCCACACACACACACACAAACACAAAGCTGACCGAGGGTTCACACCTGAACCGACGGTGCGGACGCGCGCTACCAATTGCTATCGACGATAACACCTCGTCGGCGAGATGATGGGATGTGTCACTAGCAATCAGAGCAACGTGCACATGCACGCATCCAAGATTGTTCCTGATAGACGCAATCACGCTCCCTCGTGTTTGTATGTGTGTGTGGGTGTGGGGATGAGTGTGCGTGCGCACGCGTGTGCGTGTATGTATGTATGTATGTATGTATGTATGTATGTATGTATGTATGTATGTATGTATGTATGTATGTATGTATACAATTCGCGTCTATGCACGAGAAATTCACCATTATAATTATCAATGAGCGCGAGTGACGTCATTAGAAAATAACATTGGCTTTTCATTTCTCTCTCTCCGGGTGTTTGTAGCCGTGATAAATGTAGAGGCGACTTGCAGGTGTATAAATGTTGGGAACCCTTGCTGGACCGCTTGTCCGTACATCGGAGTCTTGCTACATGTTTCTTTCCTGAGCAGTGGTACGAGTGAAGTAATTATAACTGATGATACGTCACACGTACAACGAATAACGTAGCGATACGCGCCAGCCTCTCAATATCTGTATGTTCACACGCGGGCATCTTAACGCGGGATCTCGCGATGCACGTACCTTTTGTCGAGACGAGACAGCGGGCGCTGGTGAGGACGCCATGTTGTGAATATTCGCCTGCGGCCTTGATCGCGAGTGAAACCCAAGATGGCGGCAGCGGATGCGTGAGAGGATATGTCAGTAATCGAACAGTCTGTTGCGTAAGTCGTTATTGTACACCGAGCACTTATCGCGTAAGAATTTCGTTTTAATAATCGTTGTAATATCTATTCGTTAATTAATAGTATAATCAAATGCGCGTTGCCATGAGTAAATGGGAAAGATGTAAACACTAATTACTAATAATCACCCGTAAGCGTCTGTGGAATGTGAAGGTCTCGTGCTAATTAATCCCGAGTTGATAATGAAACCTTCAAAAATATTAAAGAAAAATGAAAGTACTCATTAAAAATTATCATTATCACAGAAAGTTAATTAATTCATGGTAACTCGACATTTAGTGGGCAAATTAAAACACAATTTCGGTCAGGTAATTAACCCGCTACTGGTGTTGTATCTCAGAGTTTTAGTTCGTAGATGTACATACCTATTCGATTAAAACTTATACCTGTTCGAATTTTTCAGTACGGGTTATTGTTTTTTTCGCCTCACACGCGGATTGCGAGCGGACAAACGTGAGCCACCGGTGGTTTCATCTATGGCGCTATCGCCGGCACCCCGATAGAATAAGCACACGTCACACAACCTAAATTTATTCGGCATTTTTTAGATAGATAGTGTCTTCATGTCCCTGAAGACAATTACAGAATATAATAATTAACTACGCAATGCCTTACTGAAGATGCAAAATATCGACATAGCTCACTCATAACATATGTAATAACGACAGAGCATCTAACAGAACACGTTCCCTATTGATACAGAATCATATTTAAGATGTTAAATAGCGACACGGCATATTATTTAAGATGTTAAATAGCGACACGGCATATTATTGAACATGTTAAATAGCAATACAGCATCTAATAGAACATGTTAAATAGCAATACAGCGTCTAATAGAACATGTTAAATATCGACACAGCGTCTAATAGAACATGTTAAATATCGACACAGCGTCTAATAGAACATGTTAAATAGCAATACAGCGTCTAATAGAACATGTTAAATAGCAATACAGCGTCTAATAGAACATGTTAAATAGCGTCACAGCGTCTAATAGAACATGTTAAATATCGACACAGCGTCTAATAGAACATGTTAAATATCGACACAGCGTCTAATAGAACATGTTAAATAGCAATACAGCGTCTATTAGAACATGTTAAATAGCAATACAGCGTCTAATAGAACATGTTAAATATCGACACAGCGTCTAATAGAACATGTTAAATAGCAATACAGCGTCTAATA